GGGGGGGGGGGGGGGGGGGGGGGGGAGAAAGAGAGAGCGAGACTGACTCTGCAAATAGAAAAGAAGCAGAGAAGGGACTTAAAAATTTTAACTCCAATATCCAAGTTTTTATTAATTGCTGTGTAGAGAAGATATACAGACAAATGATACTAAAACTGAAAGCTGAGTAGTCAGTGCAAACCAGCTATGGCAGAGATTTCTTAACAGTCTTATTTGCTAATATAAAAGTATAGGGAATTGGACATTCTTGGACATCTTTTGCAACTCTATGTAGATCTTCTACCTGCTCTGTATATTCCACGCACCATTCTACCTTCTGATCTTCTGAATAATCAAGGCTTCTTTTGCTTCCATTACAATCAGAGAGATGTGTCCATTATAAATTATTGACAACAAACATTTCTTTAATGAAAATATATTTCATGTTTCCTTTTTTAAAAAAAAAGCAGTCAAAGATGCTTACAATAATCTATTAAAAGCAAATTGCTCTAAACGCTATTGTTTTGATCACAATAGAAAATAGTTACGGGCTGGGTGCACATTAGTGTGTTGCAACGAAAATGACAGTTTAAATACTTAACCAATTGAACAAATTTCGAACTTTATTCTGACTTTTTAAAAGTTGCCAATTTGTTCCACATGCTAACAAGACTTGGTTGCATATTAACATGCTCTACGAAAGCTTTGTTTTTTTGGCACAGCAGGAAAAACCATAAATGAATTGGATTGCTGTGAAAGGAAATACTTTTCTAGATGGCAGACATCTGTCTATCTGGAGGCCAGGGCAATACTGACCTCAGTTCTTCCTCTGAAGAGTTATGGCCTGAGTGAGCCAACACTTTCCACATCTGCTCTTAGGGATGATTTTCATTGCCCAGTTTGCAGAATTAGTCAGAAAGGAAAAACAAGCGTGGCGAGAGGCAAACATAAGGACAATAATCAAGGTTTTTTTTCTTGTTTTGTTCTCCCCCCACCCCCTTCATCCTTGTCTTAGTAAAACAATAAACATTTAACACAGGGATAAAAATAAACACGAGTGCAATGTGACTTTAAGCTTAGCCTTAATCCCCACCCCCACCTCAATATTTCATGAAATAACTCTTGAAGGCAAGAGTTTAAAAACTGATTCATTTAGTACTAGACACTATCTAAGTAAATGCAACAATATTAGGCTGATATTACAGACTTTCAATCAACAAGATGAAGCGTTTCCTTTTGGCGTTTTTCCACTACATTCCTTTTTGCAAACATATGTGGAACTTCCTAGAATTATCCTAACCTTGCGCTTTCTGTAAGACTACAATAGCCATTAATCCTAGCTGCCAGCCTTAAAGCAAATCTGTTTGGCATTATTTGGTTTTATATTGCAAGGGCTATTGTGATCCACACCTTTCAGATTCAGTGCTTATTTGACTTTTCAACAATAGTTGCATGTTGATTGCAATTCAGGAGACCACAGGGTTGATTCAAAGGGAAAATAATGCATGTACATTCTAACTCTTAAGGCAGTTAAGTCCCTTACCTGATGGCCTTCAGGAAGATGCTGAAGATCAATCTGGCTTGCACAGCATTCTAGTTAAACTTGGCCATCTTTAATTTTTTTTATTTCTTATTGATTACTTGAATGGGGGAGGGGGATTGATTTCATTTTAATTGTTTCTGATTTTTGTTTTAGTTTTTTACCATGAATGTTTTTTATTTCTTTATACCATGTAAAATGCAGAGACTTGATTTTGATTCTGGCAGGTTATAAATGAAATCAATGAATCAACAATGAGAATAAAGCAAG